GAGTAGAACTCTAGGCAAGAGTAGAACTCTAGGCAGGAGAACGGAGAGGGAAGACCTTGCCATAGAGGACGTACTATAGCCTAGTGCGCAAATGACCGCAACAAACGATACCGAAAAGGTTTATAGCGGCTCGAGCGGGATCGAGACGACATCGTTTTGACTCCGAGGCGAGTCTTCTGTGAGTGGACTTCCCTGCATTTACCACGCGGCCGGGTCCTTGCGACATCGAATCGATATCGTGTCCGACCGCCATTTCCCAGCTCCAACCTCCAGCGACGCCAGACGCCGCCGCCGCTTGCCCACCCCGCATCTTTGCCGTGACCCAGTCCGTCGTAAACAACGCGCGTCCTTCCCTTCCTCAAGACGGCGACAAAAGGCCCTGCCCCCCATATAAATCCCATTCCACCAGACCGGAAACGGCGGCCGGCCGGCGACGCGCGCATGACCCGCGCGCGACACGGCGACACCACTGGGGGGGGAGGAAGTCACACGGCTCACATAACTCCCCGAGTGTCGGCGGCGTGACCGCGAGCGAGCAGCGGCCTCAGGGGGCGTCTGGATGGTCTGGATGGTCTGGACGAGCAGCCTCGCGGGGGACGCGGGCGTTTCCGGACGAAGTTCGATGTTGTTTGGACTCGGGTTCTCCCCAACCGAACGAAGACGCCCTTCTTATGGATAACACCATTTTGACGACAGCAAGAACTATGCCACCTCGTGATAGTCTTGGGATGTTTCTATACGAAATTGATGATAAGCAAGTGTTTTCCTGGCAGGTACAATGGCACGAGGGGCAGTGCTGGCGCTGATGGGGCCGCTGCTGGTGGCGGCGGCCGCCGGCCACACCTACCACACGGGCAGCTGCCCGGCCTACGCGGCCCAGAAGGACTTCGACATGACCAAGTTCCTCGGCGACTGGTTCGTCTACCAGAAGACGTCCTCGTCCGCCAAGTGCCTGGTCAACAACTACGCGCTGGACGCGGAGCGGCCCGGCGTGTTCAAGCTGGAGCAGTCCAGCGTGCACGCCGTGCTGGGGCTCACCTCCAGGGACGGCCGCTGGAGGTACAACGGCGAGGTCACCCTGCGCGAGAACGCCACCAGCAAAGCCGACCTGCAAGTCAAGTACTCGCTGAGTGAGTATCAGAGACGCCCCGCCCAGTGAGAAATGCCTGCCGAAAAAAAAATGTCGGAACGATATCGTCGTTTCTCACCGGGTGTAGTTTGTAAGAGTTTTACCCACAAGTGTTGCTCATGTGTCCGTGACCTGCGCAGACCCCGGCTCCGCCGCCTACACCGTCCTGCTCACCGACTACGACAACTACGCCGCCATCGTGTCGTGCCAGGACCTCCCCATCGGCTACCGCGTCTCCGCCACCGTGCTGTCCCGGAAGCGAACGCTTGACAGCAAGCTGGCCGAGAAGGTAAGCCCCCTTCCACTCCCCAAGGAAGCCCCTCTTGCCCCTTCGAGCCGACGGGGGGAATGCCACCAGGCTATGTTGAGCTCCAGACGTTGCCTAGTGCGAGCCCCGGCACACTCAGGCGCTCAGGGTGGGCCGCCCGCCCAACACACC